GTTCCCTCATTGCTCCCATCCATCAAACCGATCCAGCTCCATGTTTCTGACTTTGTTAACTTGGAGAGAAAAGTCTGTTTTTAATGATAAAAAAAAGATACAAATGATATTTTAAAAATTGAATCATTATTATAAAATCATTAAACAGAAAATTAAGCTATTATACATTAAATTACATTAGGGGTATTGTACCCCATTTTGACCTTGAGACTTAGACCACCATAGACCCCCACCTTCAGTCTTATGCACAGGGCTTGTTCATGTGCTACCATGATTAGAGCCTCCGTGCTGTCTTTCTATCCAACTTTGTCCAGCCACTGGTAGGATTTTTTGATATCAGCCACTTCTTCTATCTGCCCGTAGTACATACTGTCCTTCCATGATGTTCTTGCTCATCTTTTTTTCTCAGGTTTCTAATGCCTGAGGTATACGCCAAGCACAAATTCATTGTGGCCATCTTCCTGATATACCCATTTTTGTTGTTTCATTCTGGATGATGCTTCTGACAATCACTAATCCTTATCCTCCTTCCTTTAGCTTCACATAAAATGTCAGGGTGCAGGACGTGGGGTGAAACCCTCCATACATGGTAAAGAGCTTTCTTGTCTTGATGTCAGGGACTTCTATCTTCTCCTTTGGCGAGCTGGTTATTCCAGTAGAGTATATGATGACTGGCAGGTTGTACGTGGTGATTCAGCAGATCTTGTTCTTGCCATTCAATTGACACCTTAGGACTTGACACTCTGCTGGTATTTGGTTGTGGCTTTTCTAGCGGCCTCTTCATGGTTGCAATTTGTATAATTCTAAGGTACTTCTAGCTGTCCTCAGTATCTCCAATGTAGCCTTCTGGCAGTGCAGTCTCCTCAGTTCTGACTAACTTCCTTCTCTTTCTCCAAAATCCTACTATTTGGCATCAACTCACCCCACCATGATGGAAGAAGATACATGCTGAGTATGACTCAATAAACACTAAAAACACCAGAAACCTTCCAGTTAAAAGCAAACAAACAAACCCACACACATGGCTTTCCATTCAGCTAAAACAACTTTACGAATGTCATTCTTAAAGATCATTGGACGCAATTCGATCTGTAGTTACTGCGTTTATTTACTTACACATTATTATGATTATGGTCATATCATTAACTAAGCAGTCTGGTCAACTGTTAGGGAAGTACCTGCTCCTTGTTGCAGTCAATGACAACTAGATCTGCTCCTTTGTCTTTGCAGTCCTGTCTGGCTCTTGTCCATGAACCAGAGTCATTGGAGAGGAAATAACAAGAACTACTAAATATCCTCCATCCTGCTGGACAAGTTTTCTCTCTCTGTCTGGTTAAAATTAGTTCTTTCTTTAACTCAGTGATGCTTGAATTCAGCAGGTCTCTCTCTCTGGTCATGAATGACATTGCATTAATAGAGGCCTGGAGATGCTCAGTCAGGTTGTTTTTGAGAAAAGAGAAATGTGCAGCTTCACTGTGATCTGGAAATAAATACATTTACAAAATGACATATTTATGTTTATTATGTTAAGGACAAAACTAACAACTGAGTTGGTCAATATTGACAGGCTTTGTTACAACATATGTTACCTAAGGCATTATTATTGTGCCTCTGTTCTATGAGTGCAGGTTAAAAAAAAAATAGAAAAATATGCAAGTGCAAATGTTGCATTTTGAGGAGAAAATTATTTTGAGTGAAGAAACGTTTAATTGGAGCAAACAAAATTCATTGCTGCGTGCAAGAAATGTATTTCAGTGTTTGCTATTATGCATACACACACACAATAACAGCCCCTCTTGCTCAGTTGCTGGCTGTTCTCAGTGTGACGTTCATGCTCTCAACTCTCTGTACACCATTCTAGGTGTACCAACCAACCAATCACAGACGTGGATGTGAAAATTCTGATTGGCTGTTACGGTCTCCAATCAGCTTGCTAGCTATTGCATTCCGGAAACATGGTCCAGAATGTTGCCAAATGCATTTTCGGTTAGTATGTTTAATTATTTCATTTTAAAATATATAATTTTTTAAGACCACTGTTGGTTTTAATCTAGTTTAAGCTACACTTTTCTTCGCTCAAAAATAATTTACTCCACAAAATGCAACATTTGTGCTTGCAAAGTTTTTTTTTTTACGTGCAGTTAGAATAGAGGCACAAAAATGACACCATAGTTGCCACCTAAGAAAGATGGTGTCAGTTAATATTGGAATAACGGGGTGCCTGCAGCTTGGTCCTTTCAGCGACTGAAATTATTTGATGTGTACATGTGTTCATGTGTACATTACATGTACTCTGTTTAGAAATACATTTGGCCAAACAATGTTTAATGCAGTGGCACTTTGGAGTCACTGGAATCCATTGACTTCCGTGTCTGTAAATAAAAACAGCTATTCTAACAGTGCCTATAATTTGTTATTTTCTCTCATACAATGACAATGAAGCTAGTGTAGAAGAACAATAAATATCTGTTGTTATTTTTATTTGTTTTGTATTCATGAACAGCCATTTTTTCTTATTATTTTCTAATTATATACAGTGATGTAATGACGTTATAAATAATTCGATGATAACTGATGACTGTGTTCTCATAGATGAGCGAACTAAACGAGCACTGAAGGCTTGGCATAAACTGCCCGTATGAATACGGAATACAGAATATAAAAATGAACTGAATAAAGCTAAATGTGAACAAAACTCACAGTGCAGACCAAGGCCAATGAGCCCAACCAACAGGGAAACACTCAGCAGCCCCAAAGTAAGAATAACAGCTTTGTGAAACTTCCCATCAGAGCTCTTTGGACCTGATAAGAAAAAAAAAGTCAGAGATGTCTTTCACATAATGCAACATATGCAACATATACTCAGTTACTGCGGTACAGTAAGTCTGGACTGGTTGTCCGTCTTAAGGCTCTGAGTTAGAATTACTAGAAACTAATTAAAGGAGACATCCTAACTTCCTACATCTAGATAATGATACCACTGTCTCTGATAACATACTCTGATTAAGCAACTCTGTTAGTCAAGTACAGTCAGTCACTCACCTTGTTGCCCTAAAGTAGCAGACCAAGAAATAAACGCCCTAAGCGACGGTCAGCTTGTGGGCTAGAGCAACCTCTTAGAAGCAATAAAAGCTGTAATAGCCATACACATATTTTAACCTTTACCGTTTAACAACACAATTCAGACTTTAAATGCAGGTAAGATATTCATTTAAATCACGAAAGCCAATTTCTATAAATCACCAAGACTAATCATAATAGATGAAATGGGATAACTGCCACTAAATACCACTATGGTCTCATAGTTCCTCCAAAGTCCATAATTCAACAAAAAATTAGCAGCAAAGAAAAGACTTGTGGCTCCAATTTTTAGATCACAGTTGTTTGGCCATAATTAACCGTCTGGAACACTCTGAAATATTATATTGCTGAGACCGCTCCAGAGACTCCAGTTTCACAACACTTACAACTTGTTTTTAACTATGTACATGGTTACCCCGCTGAGTTCCTATTCATCACATTACTTCAAGTCCTAGATGGATGAGGTTTGGGGGATTTCAGTCCTTTGACAATCTCCATCAAACTGGAAATTCTTACCTGTTTGAATTGTTGAAGAGCTTCTGTTGACTGACTTGCCATGTTGAACATTGACATAGATTTCCTCCATCTCTCCTGAGATAGTCAGCTTTCTTTTAGAGAGTCGGCTCTGCAGTACACGTTACTTGAAGCATAAATGAGGACGTTTTTAGCTTAGTTCCTTCTTGTCTTTTACAGAAGTTTTATCGGAAGTCATACTGTATGTGTTGAATCCAGAAGTGTCACTTCTAATAATATTTCTATAACACAGTTTAAGTTTGAAGGTTGAAGTTTCCTGGAATAGTCTGAATGACTAATGTTACATGAAAAGACAGATATACAACAAAATTCAAAACTCAGCAGAAGGTCTAGATCTTGTCCCTTGAAGTTGCTCATTACCCACTGTGTGGATCATAAAAGTATAATGAAAGTGAGCAGGCAATCTGCATATACATTAATCTCACAAAGATGCACTGAAATCACCAATCAATCACATTCCAATTGGCCTTGTGTCCAATGAACTTCAATTCAATTCAATTCAAACTTTATTTTTATAGCACATTTAAAAGCAAGAGAGTTGACCTAAGTGCTTCACAATCAGTTAGGAACAAGAGAAGAAAATAGAGAAACAAATACAGATAAATGAGAGGACATTGTATTAACATTAAAAAACAGGTCGGAGGTTATTAACTTGAGTTAAAAGCCAACATTGTGGGGGGGTGGGGATAGTTCAGGTAGAGTGGTCGCCCCTTGATCGGAAGGTCGGGGACTCGAATCCACCGAATCCAAGCTACCCTGAGGTACCCTTGAGCAAGGTACCGTCCCTACACACTGCTCCCCAGGCGCTGGATTGGTAGCTGCCCACTGCTTCACTGAGTGAAGGGATTAAATGCAGAGGACTACAACATTTCCAACGTGTGGGACTATAAGAGGTTTAAAATGGAAAAAAGGGGAGTTTTAAGACGCAATTTAAAAGACTGAATAGGATTCAATCGAGACCTCGGTTATATTAAGAGCTCTCAGTGCTCTTTTGGGGTTATAAATGTTGAGGAGTTTGCTTAAATAGCTGGGTGCCATATTATTTAAAACTTTAAAAGTTAAGTAAAAAAAATCTTAAAACTAATATGGTATTTGACAGGGAGCCAGTGTAAATTTGCTGAAACTGGAGTGATACATTCATACATTCTAACATCTATTAAATGATGAGCAGCAGTATTTTGGACTAACTGCAAGACATGAGTGGTGAAGACCAAAATAGAGAGAATTGCAGTAGTCCAGTCTAGAGGTGATGAAGGCATGAATAAGTGTTTCTAGGTGTTTTGGAGGAAGATAAAGCTTCACATAACAGATAAAAACTGGTTTGAACTGTGGACACTTGCCTCTCTAATTAATAAAAGCTATCTAAAAACACTCCCAAGATTTCTTACAGTGTGAGAATGATGATAAGCAAGTGAACTGAGGGTAACAGTTAACTTATCCAAAGTCGAATGACTTCCAAAAACAATAACTTCAGTCTCATTTACATTTAGGATGAGAAAATTTTGTGCTAACCAGTCTTTAACATTACAGTGGAATAGAAACACCCAGTTTGAAGGGGAAGTAAATTTGGGGGGCATCAGCATAACAGTGAAAGGGGATGTTGCATTTCCTAAAAATAAATCCCAAATGTAGCATGTATAAGGAGAAGTGTCACTTTCCTGGGTCTGACCCAGCGTTTTGAGTTTTAGTTTATTTGGATGATATGTTTGAGTTCTTTAGGGTAGCTAAGTTGTTTATTAGTTTCCCTTTGTGTTTTCTACCGCTGTATTTAAGTTTCCCTTTGCCCTTCATGTGTTTCATGCTGCGTGTCTTATGTTGTCAAGTTTATATTGTCTTGTCTGCGTCACATGTTTCCAGTTATATTTTGAAGGTCTGTGTCCTATTTCAGTGTAGTCAGCTTTGCTTCCTTTGTCTCGTTATGTCAGACTAGTGTCAGCTGTTTCCCCATGTGTTTCCACTTCCCCTGATCACCCTTGTGTGTATTTAGTCTGTGTGTTTCTGTTCATTCCTTGTCAGGTCGTCTGTTGTTCACGCCATGTTCTTTACACCAGGTTTCCAGGTTTCATGTCCAGGTTTTTTCATATTGTTGTTTAGATTTCCCAGTTTAGGTTTGTGTTAATTTTGCTTCAGTTTGCCTTGCCTTTTGTTTGTACCTTTTACCAGCCTCATTAAACGGCTCGCTTTTTGTTAACATTCAAGTTTTGTTCCCTGTTCCTTGGGGTCTGCGTTTTGGGTCCTTCTCATCAATTCATACAGTCTGCCCTCGCCAGACTGTGACAAGAACAGAGTTGGACCCAAAACAGACCCCTGAGGCACACCACAACAAATTGGGGCAAAGGAAGTGGAGTATTGTCCAATAGTAACAGAAAAGGACCTCTCTGATAGATATTTAAACAATGATAAAACTGTGCCTTTAAGACCAACAATGAACAACCTGGGTTGTTCTGTTGTTTAAACATGGCAAATAATAAAAGCTTCTCGAAAACAGTTAACACACTGGACAAAAAGATGTGTTATCCCCTTGTGCTGCAAATTTTCCAAAGTGGAAAAACCTGGACTTTATGCAAAACATCACAGGAGAAATGTAAGCTATCAGTTTCAGTCACGTCCATCATACAGGTACAGTGAATACTTTATATTTTGCTTCTATGAAGGTCAGGTAATTAAACATCTTAACTGTCTGCAAAGATGTTTTAACACAATGTGAAGATCAAAAGCAGTTAGTTCCCCGTTGATTTAATTTTACGTTTTGGTAACTTTTAGGTGAAGGAATAGGACCAGTTTGATGTTAATGTAACAGCAGTGTGCAACCTACATGACAGTACAACAATTTTTTTCACTATTACTATTATTTGTAACATTTTGGTTTTAATTACTTTATTGTATCATATACATGTAAATGCAATGCCATTAAAATACAATTGCTGTGATGAAACATATGTACTGTGTTAATAAGACGTTCTACATTCATAGCAAAAGGAAGTTATTTTCTTGACCAAAGAGCTACAAATAAAATCAGTCAAGAAAAATATTTTTCTCAAGGTCTTGTTTTATATTTATTCAAGAAGGAAAAGGCTAATCACAAATGAATGCCATTTTACTAACTGCATTACACCTTTAAATCATTAGAATTTGATGAAAAGGATTCCTTGGCAACTGTTACACAAGAGTGTAATCGTTCTGCTATGTTTTTGTACCAGTCAGTGAAACATGACAGACTGCTGAATTAGTGGAGTTTGTGTGGATACTACTACCAGCACATACTGGGTACTGTGTAATATGGATGTATGTCACTTATCTTCACATGAATGTATCTTTGAGATATTCTCATTGTGTATTCCTTTTGTTGTCTTAGATATTCTTTATTTCTTATTATTGAGCTGAAGAAATGGCAATTTTGTCTTTTCAACATTCTCAGTCATGCCGCTGGGCAGGCAGGCAGCATAGACGCCTAAGTTTGTGAATGCGATAACTTGAGAACAAGGCGGCGTAGGATTTTGAAATTGATACCATAGTTGTGTCTACCAAGAGGCTGAGCGGTAGCACTGGTGGTCACCATTATTTTTTACAAAAAAGCCAACAAGATACTGAATTTGCCTACAGGACTAGAATATGTAACTACTGCTGAATTAATGTTCAGATATCATTTAACTGCTGTAGCTGCTCCTGCTGGTAACACTTTAAACTTTTAACTGACTTGTTTGATATGTAAAATCTGAATATTATATTAACACAAATACCAAAGACTTTAAGTGAATGTTGTGGTGTATATCTTTGAAATGTTGTGAAGCAAAAGCACAAAGGTGACCAATTTGGAAATGCTCAAGTAAAGTGCAAGTACCTTTATATGACAGTACTTAATTACATTCCATATGACATACAGTGGGG